GCCCCCAATAAAATGATTCTAAAAAAAAAAGAATCCAATACATAACTCACTATACAACCATGGCTTTTACTATCAATATAGTTCTCACAAAGAAATTCATTAGAGTTATTTACGTGAGTTAAAAGTGCTATCATTTTATAGGGGAAAAAATCAGTTGCCTGTATGTTGTGGGTGTTTTTTTTTTTTTTTGAGTGTTCTATCCTGTTCCGTGGTTCTATTTATCTGCCATGCCAGCCGTGCCAGGCTGTGTGATGACTGCAGCGGCGCCACAGGTTTGGAGACTGGCAGTGTCGGACCTCTTCCTTTGTTCTTCTTTCAGAGATGTTCTTTACTTATTGGAGCACCGCTAGTGATGGAGTCTCACACCTGGGGCTGCTAACGGCAAGGTCAGCGGTTTCAAGTCCCAGGCTGTCCTGAGGGAGAAAGACAGTGCTTTCTATTCCCACAAGAGTTACAGTCTGGGAAGCTCACGGGCGGTTCCATCCTTTCCAATAGGGTCACTGTAGGTCAAAGTCAACTCAGTGGCAGTGGGTTGGGTTTGGGGGTTTTATTTATGGAGGGCTTCTTCCCTCTCCATATGAAGTTGTCATTAGTTTTTCCATTTCTTTCATACTGAAGTTGGGATTTGGATCAGAAGAGGATTTTATTTCTAGAGCGCTCTGGGTAATATCGACAGCTCTACAATGTTCCTCTATTTGCGTAGGTCTCTTTTGGTTTCCGCAGTGGTGTTCTGCAGTTTCCTCTGATGGGTCTTCCGTTTCTTTGGTTAGGTTTCCTCTTTTGTGTGGCTATTGTAAACGGTATTGTTTTCTTGATGTCTTTCTCAGAGTCTTCTTCAATGGGAGATAGGAATCTGAATTCTACTTGCTCATCTTGTATCCGGCTACTTTACAGAATCTCTCAATTGTTTCCAACAGTCGTTTTGTGGCATTGAGGGGGGTTCTCGCCACATAAAGTCATAGTATATGCAAGAGCATGAGTTTCACTTTTCTTTGCCCAATTGTATTCCCTGGATTTCTTTCTGTTGTAGGGTGGGTCTGGCTAACACTTTCAGCATGATGGTGAATAAAAGTGCAGATTAGGGGGACACCCTTGTCTGGTTCCCGTTTTCAGGAGATATGTTTTCAGTTTTGCCCTATTGAGTGTGATATTGACCATTGGATTTTTATATATGGGCTTTATTATGTTGAGGAATTTCCCTTCTAATCCTGTTTCCTGGAGTGTTTTATCAGAAATGGGTGTTGAATATTGTCAAGTGCTTTTTCTGCATCTATTGAACGACCACGTAGTTCTTAGCTTTTGTCTTGTTTACGTGGGGGATTACATCAATTGTTCTGGAACGTGAACCATCCTTGCTTCCCTGATAGGAATCATATTTGGTCATGAAGAATTATTTATTTTTTGATATGTTGTTGAAATCTATTGGCCAAAATGGAATTTTTTGCATCTATGAGGGAGTACACACCAAAAAACCCCCAATATTCTTTTTTTTTTTAATGTGAGGGGGATAGTGCATTTGGAGTTTGTTCCACCAAGTCAGACTGTTAATCAAGCTTTCTGTTTAGAGATTCTGAAAAGGTAATGTAACTGTGTGCGACAAAAAAGGCCTAATTTGTGGCAGATGGGAGACTGGTTTTGCCACCACAACAATGCACCTGCTCATGCAGCCATCTCAGTGTGCCAGTTTTGGGCAAAAAACAGTATGCCTCTCTTGCCCCACACACCTTACTCACCTGAGCTCACTCTGTGTGACTTCTTTTTGTTTCTGTGAATGCAAAGGGACATGAAAGGACAGTGATTTGATGACGTAGAAGAGGTGAAGAAAAAAACAAGGGAGGTGCTGTCAGCCATCCAAACAGATGAGTTTGAGAACTGTTTCCAAGAATGGAATTGCAGATTTGATAAATGTATTAAGTGTAATGGAGAGTACTTTGAAGATGATAAAGTTGTTTTGTTAAAAAACAATTTAAATGCATAGCTTTGAAAAACAAATTTGGGAGGACATGGGAGAGGGGGACATGGGGAAAAGATAGTGGGGAGCCAAGAAACCCAGGGACTAGGGAACCAGTGATCTAAAATTGATGGCAAGGAGGGCATAGCATGCCTGGTGGGGTTTGGTCAAGTGCAGTGTAGCTGAGAGGAATTACTGAAAGCTGAATGAAAGTCAAACATGATAGTGGGACAAGAAAAGGTAAAAGGAAATAGAGGAAAGAACTAGGAGGGAAAGGGCATTTATAGAGGTCTAAATACAGGCATGTACATGTGTAAATATATTTATACATAACTATAAGGACATAGATCTATGTGCATATATTTGTGTTATGTATTAAGGTAGCAGACAGACATTGGGTCTCTACTCAAGGCGTCCCTCAATGCAAGAACACTTTGTTCTAATAAGCTGGCATTCTGTGTTGCTCATGTTCCCAACATGATTGCTTATGACAAAATGGGTGCGTAAGCTAATGTGGTGAAGAAAGCTGATAGTGCCCAGCTATTAAAAGATAGAGTGTCTAAGGTCTTAAGGCTTGAAGATAAACAAGCAGCCATCTAGCTGGGAAGCAAAAAAGCACACATGGAAGAAGCACACCAGCCTATGTGATCATGAGGTATGTCGACAGGATCAGGTATCAGGCATCAGAAGACCCAAATAAACAATCATATTGATGCAAACAAGGTGGGTCAGAGTGGAGACCCAAAACCCATCTGTAGACAATTGGACATCCCCTCACAGAAGGATCACAAGGAAGGGATGAGCCAGCCAAGGTGCAGTAAGTATATCACTGACAAAACATACAACATTCCTGTAGTTCTTTAATGCTTCCTCCACCTCACCGACACCCCCCCACAACTATTATGACCCCAGTTCTACCTTACAAATCCAGCTAGACCAGAGCATGTGCACTGATACAGATAAGAGCTCTCAACACACAGAATCCTGGGTAGATAAACCCCTTAGGAACAGTAATGGGAGTAGCTATACCATGAGGGTAGGGGATAGGTGGTGGGAGAAAGGAGGAACCAATTACAATGATCGATGTATAACACCTTGTGTTAGCCTTGGTAAACTAGAGAAACAAATCCACAGAAACTCATATGTATAAGAGAGAGTTTTATATATAGGGTAAGAAAGCACCTCAACTCAGTCCAGTCTAAACTCATAAGTCTGACTTAGCCCATATGTCTGACACGGATCTACAACATCCTCCTCAAACTCACAAAACACCCACAATGACACTGAACGCAGGAGGATCACAGGCCAGTGGGTAGTAAGTCTCTGAATCCAGTGGTGGTGTAGGCATCTCAGCACTGGCAGGGGTCTCCATGTGGCTTCTCCAGCACCCAGGGCTGCATCAGGGTAGGTCTATGTGGCTTCTCCTCAGTGATGTCTCGCAGGAAGTGAGCCTTGCCAGCTAGGGCAGCCACACACTGGTCCGACCATCAGAGAACAAGAGACCAGAGAATCAGAAGGGTGAGGCTCACTGAGCCATTTTCCTCTCCGCCCTTCAATTAATCCCACATGTGTTTATCGGCCAGGTTGACACAATGAACCTTAACTATCACAGCCACCCAGTGTGTTAACTATTTGCTACTAAGGCAATGCTAATAAAATCCAGGATGAAATATTATGTCGTGCCCACTAGGACAATTATTCTCGGATAAATAAAGGTCAAATAACAAGTGTTAACGAAGATATAGAGAAGCATAAAATGGTTTAGCCATTGTGGAAAACGGTGTACCAGTTCCTCAGAACATTAAACGGAAAATTATTATATGAGACAGCCGTTCCACTCCCTAACACATCTGAAAGATTCAAAGGCAAAGCTTCAAGCAGATACCTGTACCCCAATGTTCACTGCATAATTATTCACTTTCATCAAATGGTGAAAACCACCCAGGGCCCCAATCAACAGGAACACAAAATACAAAAACTGTGGCATACACTGACAATGGGATATGATTCGGCCATAAAGAAAAACGAAGTTTTGGTGCAAAGTACAGCATGAATAATAGAAAACTTATAGAAAAAGGCAAATATTGCTCGGTCCAATTTATGTGAAATACTGGCAGTCCTGTTTTACAATTTCATCTTCTAGTGGAATTTGTAGGTGAGGCAGAACGGGAGAAGACAGTTCTTACTTAGCTATTCCAGGGCACAGAAAGGCCCCCAAGCCTTCTCAGTGATCCCAAAGGTGCATCTGCAGCAAGTGACGATGATGATGATGATGAAGAATTTATTGTATGGATTGGACCCGTTGTTTCAAAGCAAGGGCAATTTTATGTAACATTAAAGTGCATTACCCCCAAGTTAGATGGTCACTACTCAGAGTGGACCTGTATTTAGAATAGGCACAGGGGCGGAGTTAAAGTGTGGTAGTGGTGACCAGGGACTGGGGGCGGGGTAGAACAGTACAAGAGTTTTTGACTAAAGTGACAAGAACTATTTGGAACCACATAGTGGTGATAATTGCACAATATTATAATCAATGCCTTTGAATTGTACACTCAAAAGATTAAAATGACAATTTTTAGTTGTAAATATTCTGCCACAATAAGTTTCTTTTTAAAAATGAAATTGGCAGAAGCATGTAGGGGCCTCTTGCTGGACTCGATTACATCGATCTCTGTGTGTATTCTTTGGCTAATTCCACCCTGTCTAATGACAAAAGTCTTGTGGTTAGTCTTGAAATCAGGTAGTGAGAGCTCTCCAACTTCATTCTTCATTTCAAAGATTATTTGGGCTTTTCTCAGTCCTTTTAATATAAATTTTCCATACGAATTTTCCTTTCCTTATGAATTTTAAGTCCTCTACAGTGATCTTTCTCTATTATTTTCAAGCATCTCCGTCTCCATTAGTCTCCGTGAGTGAATTGCGGGGCTGGTGAACAGTATTGAAAGCTCTGTCGGCTGCCAAAAGAACAAACTACTGTGTCTTGGAAAAAGTGCAGGCAGCGTGCTGCTTAGAGCAAGGATGGCGAGACTTTGTCTTGCATGCTTCGGACATGCCGCCGGGCGATGTCGGACCCTGGAGAGGGGCATCGGAGAAGAGGGAGGCCCTCTGGGAGATGGACAGACAGCTCAGCTGCAGCAAGCAAGCGTAGGAGCGAGGGGCGCAGGACGCTTGACTGTTTCCTTGTGTTGTGCGTAGGGAGGCTCTGGGTCGGAACCGACTCGATAACGCCGAACAACCACATCATTCTCTCTGTGTACAATGAAAGCTAGTGGCATCGTGGTAAGGTATTCAGCTGCCCACTGAAAGGACAGCGGTTCAAACCCAACAGCTGCTCCGCTTTGAGCAGTCTGCTTCTGAAAAGATTTATGATCTTGGAAACCCTAAGGGGCAGCTTGCCTCTTTCGACGGTCATTCTGAAGCAGAATTGACTTGAGGGCAGTGGGTTTGGTTTTTAGTTTAGGGCTCTATAAAAATACCAAAAGAAGTGTGCTGGCTTAATTCTAGCCCCAATCTAAGAGTAATTGGTTTTTATGACGTGGCCCTTTAGCGGTATCACAAAGAGATCACTGATGATAGAGGTGCTATAGCAAAGTGTGGGGAAGAAACCAGATGGTGCCTGGCTATCAAAATGAATAGTATCTTAAAGATAAGACCTCAAGACACACGGAACCAGATCAGATAAACCCTTTAGGAACAGATATGGGAGTAGCGATAATTCCATCCGGGAGGATAAGAGGAAGGTGGGGGAAGGAGGGGAGGAAGGTGGAACCGATTGCAATGATCAGTGAATAATCACCGCCCCCACACACCAAGGGGGATGAACAACAGAAAGGGAGACTGTGGTCAGTGTAAGATATGGAAATAATAATAATTTATAATTTATCAAGGGGTCATGAGGGAAGGGAAGGGAAAAAGGAGCTGATACCAAGTGCTCAAAAAGAAAGTATATGTTTAGAAAATGATGATGGCAACATATATACAAATATGCTTAATACAATTGGCGTATGGAATGTGGTAAGACCTGTAAGAGCCCCCAATAAAATGATTTTTAAAATAAATGGGGGTGGGGGGAGGAATAGCATCTGGGATCTTAAAGACTTGTCTTTAAATAAGCAGCCATCTAAGTGAGGGGTCAACTAAGTCCACATGGAAGAAGCACACCAGCCTCAGTGAACCAAAAATTATAAATATTAAAATCCAAATCATTGTAAACAGTTGGTTTGCAGAAGGCTATGGATGCCTGTGGAAGCCCAAAATCCAGGAGCAGGGCCACACCTGGATGAAGCAGCTGTGAAGCCCTCCGCCCACAGTCCAGGGACGTGAAAGGCCTTGTTATCAGCCACAGGGCATGACAAACTGGACCATGGCAACTGTAGTTAGGTTAGAATGCGACACCGTATGGTTCAGTCTTCCTTTTGACCCATCTTAAGTTGGTTCTAGTTTTTCATACTTCCTACTT